GAGGGAGGGAGGGAGAGAGAGAAACAGGGCTTGCAGTAACTTTTATGACTTCTGTCTCCGTGCAGGACGTGCGCACTCTTGAACTAATCACCTGCAGACTAAAACGGCGCTGCGCACACATCAGGATTGATGTAACCTCATTTTTACCGACTAGTCGAGGCATTAGACTCCAAATCAATAACAAATTGAATTGTGGTTAGTTTGAAAAGAAAGTTACTGCTGTAAAATGATCCGGGTTCACTCCAAATGTGCCATGGATCTTAGACGCGCCTTTACGCACGGAGTTCGGTGCGTATTTGTAGTTTTTTAATCTGCTCCTTCAGTTCAATATCTTTGGGCTCTCTCCCGTCCATGTTCCCGGTGCATCATGGGACACGATCCGCGGACCTCGGACTGAAACCGACATCATTTGGCTCCAAAATGAATCTGTGCCAAATGGTTCAAATCTGTCTGAATGAGTGGAAATGTTGGTCTCACGGTGTAACAGTGATTCATAACTCTTCATCGGCCATTTAATTTACGGATTCTCACCTTGTTCTCTTCATCTTTTACCCTCACACACATTGGAGCAGTGTAGGGGCAGTGTAGGGGTCCTGCTCATGGGCACAGTACGAGACAGAGGAGAGTCCTGCTCATTGAGTTTCTTTCTTTCTTTCTTTCTTATTCTTGAACTCTTTTTCCAGTTATTTTTTCCTGATTTTTCCAACATTCTTTAGGCTAAACAGTCTAAGATGAAATCTCTAACAACCTGTTTATTCAAGCAATTCTCCGTCTTCAGAAGTATAAAATCAGTGGGTTCACATCATCCCATCACCCTGCATCACTTAAACTCTCATGACCTGAACCGACTGACTCAAGCATCCATTTCACCGAAAAGGTCACGGGTTCGACTCCCGTCCCCCGACCACGTGTCCCCGTCCTCGCCACAGCCTCTCCTTCCTGAGTCTTTAGAAAACAATCAGATCAATCAGATGCAGGCGCGGAGGGAAGTCGGGGCTGTTCTCGGCACGCTGCTGCGCCACCTCCATTCCAAAGAAAATGACTGGCTTCAATTAGGTCCTCTGAGTGTGATCAGGAATATTACCAGCCGTTGTATAAGGCAGAGTGGGGACCCTGACCCCAGCTGCAGCACACACACACACACACCTGCCACAGGTCATTCAGATAGTGGCGAGTTTAAGTTTCTGCAGTTTGTTTTATGATTGTTAGGTCAATTTCTTTCTTAGTTTGTCTTCTTTTTACTCATTCTGCTATCCATCTCTAACCTCATCCTCTTGTCCTCCTTTTCTCTTCATCTTTCTCTCTTCTTCTGTGTCTCTCTCTTTCATTATTTAGTCCCTGCTGCTGTTGTTCTTCCCTCCTTTTCTTTGCTTTAATCTACATATTTGTGCCTCTTTTTCATGCATACAGCATGTCACTTTCCCATTTCCCTTCCTCCTTCCTCTTCATCCCTTTCGCTGACTTTTCCTCCTTTATTCCCTCGATCAGCACAGAATAAACAATTCTCAGAGGGATTTTTGCCCATTTGGGATTTTTAACTAAAGAACTGGAGGTTTCTGTTGCTTTATTGCGCCATCGTTCTTTTCTCCTCTTTTTCTCTCGTCTCTCTCTCTTTCTCTCTCTCTGTGTGTGTGTGTGTGTGTCCCTCTCTCTCCTTCTCTTCTTTTCAGCGTCTCACACTTGTTCTCTGACAACGGCTCAATGCTGCCGCCTAGCGGAGGAGAAACACATGGCAGCTGGCCAGAAAGAGAGGAGGAAAGAGGAAAACCTCAAAGAAAACACAAAAAACAACTTTGCCTTTTCTGTTTTTTTAAATATTAGAAGTTTATATTTGTGCAGAAATTGCAATCAGAGACTCATAGCTCTCTGGTGAACACACACACATTTTCTGTTGACATGATAGAAAGGTTAACCATGAGGTGAGTCAATCAACTCTTTAGATTCTCATAAATGCTTATTTGTGACTTTCTATGGCTCAGTATCTGGGGATGACTTAATACGTTGTTGCCACATCTGCTTAAAAAGATTATTGTTCTCGTTTTTGAAAGCATTAGGTAACTAGGAACACATAACTCAGGGGGTTAAAAAGCTCGAAACATCAGTCTTTGTGTCTTTTATTGTGGCAGGGAAAACCAGTGAGTGCATCCTTGCTGTTGGGGCATCAGTGTACAGTTTGGAGAATAAAAAACAGTAGATAGATAGAAACAGAAAATAATATTCAGTCTTCCTTAGTCTATGATAAGCTCTAAGTGAAGTCTAAGTAGCCTACATTTATAAGAAGCAGACAAAAATACATAAATAAATATAAACTCAGAAACTAAAAAAAAATTCAGAAACTTTAAAAATGATAAAACTACATGCAAAAACACTCAACTTGAATCAAACATGTACATAATTCATGTACATACATGGAGCATGTTTCACCTCGACAAACTTGCCAGTGACACATGGACTACTGTAAAGAAAAGACTGTATGTAATGTATGTAAATCCTCCAGCAAAACAGCCTTAAGGTACAATCAACCACATTCATACACAGACGATACTGTTTTTCAAAACAACACTCACAGATTATGCAGAAGGAAGGTATAGGAACTGTTCCGCCTGGAATAAATTCTGCATTTATGGATGTATTTATAAAGTTCAAAAGGTCATTGGGTGTATGAAGGGCTCACCTTTGCCATTATGCTGCTATTTTTGTTTTAATAGTCTAACATTCACATTTAAGACGTATTCATTTGCAGTTGTTTGCCACCTACCATCCCAATGGTTTCACTTGGATTTCACAATAAAAGCTTGAAATAGATTCAACTTTTAACAAACATACAGCGCTTCAAAAAAAAAAACACCCCATACAGTTTGCAAAATTGCTGAATCAGAGCAACATAAAAATGAACTTTAGATGAGACGGAGGGAGTGTCAGCACCATGGATAGCGTCATAGCATTGCAGATACACAAAATCATGCTATTTATATCTTTTCTTACTATAACTAAAGACAGAAATAGAAGTCATAGAGGTTAAATCATGTGCTCGACAGTTTCTTAGAAGGGAATCAGGTTTGTTTTCTTGGCAACTCCTCTGTCATCGTATGGTTGAAGAAACAAACCATGTTCTTAAGGTCAGTTTATATTTGTTAGTGCAGCATCTTTATTGCCAGGTAGCCAGCACTTCACAGACGAGGCCCATGGGTCAAAAAACAGAGAAATCCTCGTATGAAAGGGTTAATAAAGATTAGGTTTTGTTTTTTGTCTCATCACTTAAACATTCTTTCAGCCGCCCAGCAACTCCTGACCACATGCCATCCATGGTTATGTTGGATTGAATGTTTGTCACAGTTGGGATCATGCATTATATCACTAATACCCGAGTAGAAATTCTTAACTGTGATTATGGGTACGACTGTGATGTAATAGACACTGTTGGCAGCATTAAAGAAACCATAATCACGAAGGAAAATGCCCCTGAAACATAAGTAACATTTCACTGTTGTAGCTTGTCGAGGTGGAGTTTGTTTTAACTACTTTATATACAGTTCAGAAGTTTAAGGATCACAACATAAATCTGAGGGGTCATGAAATGATTAGTACAGCTAGACAAATGTATATTCCTTCTTCTTTTCACCAATCTTTTTTGATATGCTGTTTGTATTATAATAATAATATTTTTTCCTCTTTGAGCCTAAAACTGTTTAAATAAAATCTTAGAAGTCTAACAGCTACCAAAGAAACCTCTGCCAGGTCTCTGAAGTAGTTAGGATGCTCCTCAGTGGCAAGGCGCAAGGTGTGGATGAGATTCGCCCTGAGATTCTGAAGGCTCTGGACATTGTTGGGATGTTTTGGTTGACCTGCCTATTCAATGTCACGTGGAGGCCGGGGACTGCAGAATGGCAGACAGAGAGGGTGTTCCAGTAATCAGGGTATCTCACTGCTCTGCCACCAGGGAAAGCTTTTGCCAGGGTGCTGGAAAGGAAGCTTTGCATGCTTATTGAACCCAATATCCAGGAGGGGTGGACCAGCTCTTTACCCCGTCACTACAGTCTACATGTGTTTTTATGGATTTAGAATACAGGGTACCGGGACCATTGCTACAAACCATCCAGTCCTTATATTCCATATTCCAGATTCTATGATTTTCATGGATAAGATCTCAAGAGGCAGCCAGGGGAAGGTGTGTCCGATATGGACCGTTTCTCTGGTCTTTACAGATGACGTTGGCTTTATCAGATGTGCATCCAGCAGCGGTTTGCAGTCGAATGTTAAGCATTCGGGATGAGAGTCAGTAGCTCCATGTCTGAGGCCATGATTCTCTGCCGGAAAATGGTGGATTACTCCCTGCGGTTTGGAGTGAGTCGCTGCTCCGACTGAAGGAGTTCAAGTATTGTGGGATTGGGCTTGTTCACGAGTGAGGGTATAATGGAGTATGTAGTAGTAGTAACAGACTGTTTTGGTGAAGGAGAGCTGAGCTGGAAGGCAAATTCGAGTTTTTAATTTACCAGTCAATCAAATCAAAAATTTGTTTACTCTGTAGGGTGTCTGGGCTCAGCCTTATGGTGTGTTCCCACCAAACCTGAATAGCCAAAGACACATATAGACAAGCATTCGAGCCGGACAATGCAAACTGAGCAGAACAGCAAAATTCGCCCCATTTGCCCCCGGGTTAAAAATTCTGAGCAAATAATTTGCACGTATTTTGGGGTTTTTGCAGTGTTGTGTGTTCGGCATCATAATGTAGTTATTTCTGCATTCTTTTCATCCATTTGTTGCATTTAAATCACAGCAAAATATATTTATTTGGTGTTCTTTTCACCCTTGAAAATTTGGTTTCGCGTTTGAGGGAACTCACCATTACAAATAAATTGGGTAAAGAGCCCCGAAATCAAGAGGGGTCTCA